CAACCAGCGAAAGTAGTAGCTTTGGTAACAGTAGTAGTAGCAGCGACAACAGGATAGAAATATAGTAGATAAAATTTTAAGAATGAGATCAGTAGACCAAATGCAATAAGGGTTTAAGAGGGGTGATGAAGGAAGGTTAGGCAAGGAAGGAAGAGGCGGGGTTGACACTGTTGGCAGCTGTCAAGGAGTTGGATAAAGAAGACGACAATCGCAACGATAGCTGTGACAAATGGAAAGATGACAGTGGAGTATTATGATGATGATGATGATGATTATGAGTGGAATGATGGTAAGGATGTTGATGCTGCTGATGATGATGGTGGTAGTGGTGCCGGTGATGTTGGTGATGTTGGTTGATGATGGGTATGGAAGAAAGGAGGGAGGCACGTGGATAAAGAGCGCGTACGCGGGTGGCTGGAGCGTTCGGCAGAGAGAGCTACTGGGCGAGGCTCGAGTGGCTGCGGGATCGGATTACTGCGCAGTTTTTTGAAGTCATTTCGATCCACTCTCTCGTCGGGAGAGGCTTTTCCTCGTCAAACATTTTATTTCCCTCCTTATACCATCGTCTAAAAAACATCAAATTACTACTGCTAATAATAGTAATTGGCTACTGCGGGCCAAAAAAATAAAATAAATAAATAAATAACTATCTTTGAAAAAAAAAAAAATTAAAAAAAAAAAAACGATAAAAATACGAAGACAACGAAGAGGAAGAAGAAAAGAAAAGAATATATTTTTCACTATTGCCAGAAAAAAAAAAAAAAGTGAAACAAAAATCTTCGCTTTGGTAAGTTATTTTTCATGTCGGTTTTTTTTTTTTCTTTTTGTTTTTCTGTTTTTGATTTTTCTCATAGCTGTATTAACGGTCCTTTGAACAAATTATTCTTCAATGTTCTTCTTCCCTGTTTTTTTTTTTTTATTTGACTATTACTTTATTATTTTTAAATATTATGTTTTTTTCTTTTGCTTTTCGTTCGCTATGATGGCTGACAACTTTACTATGTATGTGGCGAAAAAAGAAACTTTTTTCTAAAAATATTTTTTCATTTTTTCTGCTCAAATTTATGTCAAATTTTTATTTAGTTGAGATAGAAAAATAACTGTAAAATGATTGGATATTCTGTCGGAAGCAATTGTTGTCAATTGATTCAATAGGGCCGGTAAACATATACGTAAACATTGGGGGGAAAAAGAAGGGGGCCGAGAAAAGCCAAGGAAAAAAAAATTGCTATTAAATTTTAATACAAATAACTGAACTGCTCAATTGAACTAAATGATAAATTGAATATGTACAAAAAAAAAAAA